AGAAAACGTCACGAAACGTGAAATCGAATACGGTTCGAACGATCACGTGAACACCACTGTTACGTTCAACCCTAAACGAACCTTGTCGAGCAATTATTTGTAATTCGAAAAGAAAATCAATAGCTTCGCAAAGCGCTGGCGAAACTCAGTGCTGAAAGTAAGCTGACGATTCTACAAAAAAAAAAGAAAAAAAATGTAATAAATTAGGCGACAATTTCTGTCGAACGATTGAACGGGTGCTTTCGCGATATAGCGGATCGAAGATCAAAGCGAAACTCTAATACGTTCCGTGCTGGATTCCCCGTGCAAAATTGAAAACTGACGTTGAAACGACCAGCGGGAGGGAAACTTTGCTAAAAAGTTTTGCAAAATCGGATCGTACGACGTACAAGTACAAAGCATGGGCTATGGCAACTTCATCGGGAGGCATTTTCGCCGCGTAAATCGAGTGCCGAGAGCGCAGAGGTGCCCGGAGTATAAGAAATGCCGATGACGATAATGTTTGAGAAATGGGACCAGGAAAAACGTTTGTTGTAACTACTTTTCCCGGCTACTTTTTTATTGTACACTTTTTTTATTGACGCGACCGTTGCAACGATTCGTCGTCAGCTTCGACGTCAATTCGCATACTGTCCGATTTTACCAGTTACCTAACTTAAGAGTGAGCGAGCGAGCGAGCGAGAGAGAGAGAGATGATGTTCAAGATAAAAATTAGGAAAACGCAGATATCAATTTCTGGAGACATATTTATTCGTTGGGAATTCAAGCGATTCACTGTTCTAACGAGAATTTGACTAATGAGAAGAAGGATGGAAAGTTGATTTCAAGCCCGACTGGTAAAGTGATTTCAAATTACATGAATTCAGGTAACTTGACAAACTTAAATGAAGCTTTAGCGAGGAAGTGTTGGGTAATAAATTCAAAGGGTCGACAGCGGCGAATAGACTTATCGATTTCGACACGGTGTCAAAGGATTTTTAAAACGATAAAGAATTTAGAATTTCTACTCGGGTTGGATTTTCGTCATTTCGAAACCAGAATTTTCGTAGTTTCTCGAAAAAAAAAAACTGCGTTTCGTTTCGATATTCATAATTCCATAAGCGAATTTTAAGATTTTTCTTCGAGACTTTCAACTTTTTATAAGAAATAGGTAAATGTTGGTAACTGTGTTGCAAGATTTGTAGAGGGCTATACTGTCGAATAATCTTAATGATGAAACAGACGATATTGGTGAAATTGGACAAGTAAAAGGTAACTGTTTATTTCGATAACAAGACGTGTAGCGGTCGTGAAGTTTATGCTCTATCGGAGGAAAAAAAGATTCTAACAGTTAACTCTTTAACGAATTCATGAATGTCGTATATATAGGATATATCTCGCCTAAAGTGGAGGAATTATACATTGCACCTAAGCAACACAAAATACGAATATCGTACGAATCGTTTTTTACGTATTTCTAAAAATTGAATTTCAACTAAGCCATTAATTTCTTTGATTGAGTTCTTCGTTTCTAGTCATTGTTCTAGTCTTGAATATGAAGCAATTTTGTTATAGAGAAACATTTGTTTGTCGCTTATCAATTCATTAATCCTCGAATGGATGAAATTTTACCTTATTATATCTCATTATCTTAGAATTTTATAGAATTAGAAGTAAATATGAAGTGAAACAGTTTATAATTACGCAGGGTAAAATTTCGTCCACGATGATCTCTGAGGATTAACAATCCATCATTCTTAATCTTATTCGTTAACATTATATCGTATATTTGATCACTTATTGTACACTTGTGTTAATATCGTTGCATTTAACGTTGTTCACTATAGAATAAGAGAAACGTATAAACCGTAATACCTGTGGTCTTTTTATGCGTATGAATTCTATGCGAGTATGCGACCTACAACACCTAAACAATGCGACTAACAACAGTCGTTAATAATCGAATATCAACACGTTGATAAACGCACGTGTGAGAAAAATCGACAGGCACTGCATGCGTATTCATATCGCTTGTCGTAAGAAGAAGAAAAAAAAAAAAAAAGAAAAAGAGAAAGAGAAAAGAAAGAAAAAAAGAAAATTGTAAGCATATCTCCGAGATTCTATGTTCAAGTATTATATATATATATATAATCATTGCATTTTTGTCTGAAACGCACCTACGATTTATGCAGTGTCCGTCCAAATTCTTTTTGGAGAAGCAACTTCTTATTTTGTAATAACACATGTATGTACATCGTCGAGGATGTGTCCGCGCAAAAAATATTGAATATTGTACAAATGTTATACAATACATGAGTATTTGCAAGACAAACGGCGGTTTACTGCGCGATGAAAGCAAAGCAACAGCAACCAAAGAAAAAAAAAAAAGAAAAAAAGAAGAGAGATATTGGAATTTAATTAAACGTGAATTACTGTTTTATATATACGTCTATTTACCTCTGCTGTCTGAATAGTTCCACTACTCATTATTGAAAGAGCTGTGCTAATAAAAGTAAATACTTCGAAGAGAATTTAAAACCGTTGCCGCGAATTGGAACATTGCTTTCTTTCGAAATCAGCGCGAGGATTTCAAGTTACAAATAAACGCAAAGGATTTTTACCGAACGAAAATCATCCACGGATCATCTTCAAAAATGAGTGGTACGTAGTATAGTGAATACCACCGCCATTCTTTACGATTATATGGTGCTGCGTGGTATACATACCACCGAATATAAAAATGCTGTTAACTATTACGAAGTCAACTGTTATTTTCTGGGGTAGTTTAGTCGTAGATCAAAGTAGATATAGCGTAGTTTACGAAAGAAGAAGCAGTATACCGATGTCGTAGATAACCAAAACGCTATGCTCTTGCAACTAATTAACTCAGTTAATCAGTTTCTATTCTTCGTATGAAAAATATTTTACGTTAATATTATTGCTTCTATTTTCAAGGGACACGATTCCTTTTGGAGTCTTAGATATCTGAATAGTGCATGAATAGTTGATGTTTTTAGAATTATTAATTTTGTATCCGTAACGATTATTAAGTATTTATTAAGTATTATTTTGTATGAAATTTCGTACTTTTTCATTTATTTAACATTTAAATATATAGACATCAATACATTAGTGCATTATACTTATTGTAATAGAAACGACTAACTCTTCGCTACAAGTTCCGTTTGCTTCGTCTCAAGAAAAAATCAATATGCAAATTAAAATGGCATTGAAATTAAAGTCTCAACTATGGCATATCGGCGTTGCATATTATGTATTCTTTATACGATTATCTTATTCGATCTTTTATTAGCTGCGAGCTTTTGCAACAACGTTTATGTCGCGAACGTTCTCAATTGTTTGCACGCACAACACAGTGCGTTTATACAAATATGAATTTATATCGTTTCTAACTATATACACGTATATATAAATATTATATAATGAAAGTACTTGGCACACCTCAAAGAGAAATTTATAAAACTAGTTATTCCGCGATACTCAGGTAGTCAGTGCCAGAAAAAAAAAACGAAGACTGCAATTTGATACGATTGAAACTTACCGCAATTACATTGAATTACTATTTCTATTATCCAATGATTGGCAAGTGAAACAACGTTCCATTAACATCGATGTTAAAGTTTACAACAAAATCTACGACAAATTGCAACTGATCTTCCTGATTGCTTGTGCAATGACTGTCTGGGTAAGTTTTACGATTTTTCGAACGTGATTGTCGAAAGCCATTGTACTTGAAACTCTGAGGACCATAAACTCACAATAAGATTTCTCGTTCTCTTTGTGTAAGTCTTGATCGAAGTGTTAGAAACGAAATTCGTATCGATATTAGAGTCTTCTATAGGCTACACTTCGTTTACGATACTCGTATAATGATAACGTTACTCTGTTGTAAAGTAAATAATAAGTAATCGAAACTAATCAAAAGAAAGAAGAAAAAAAGAAAAAAGAAAAAAAAGAAAAACAAGTAAACTCGATGTTGTGTCTGAATAAATGTCCATTATATCGTCTGCATGACGAAGCATACCAAATTATTTAACCATCGACTAACAATAAGTAAGAAATCTAGATCGATCGAAAAATGTAGCATAGAGAGGATCAACGTATTGTGTTAGTTTAGTCAAGTAGATGAGTATCACGAGCCTCGTATAACTTGTACAATTATAATTTGAAGCAATGCGAGACTTCTTAGTTGATATATTATATTATATGATACATAAATATGTTTATTTTGTACTGAATGTATTTCGCATTGATGTATTTTTTGCAAGCGTCACTCTCGACGCGATCACTCGGACATTAAAAAGTAAAAAAAAAAAGAAAAAAAAAAAAGAATAGCCGTCGCTTCATTTCGCGAATGTGAATGTAAATGTAGATTTTATAATGTTGTAATAAAAGGATTTCTTCCTAACAATAGTTCGACTCAGCCTTGCTGTGCAGGCAATTTTAAATAATAAAATTTATTATAGTTCATTTTCACGACATGGTAGATGTTGGTGTTAGAGATAGAAGTAAAGCTGTACATTAATTATGTAAATACGCTTGAATCTGATGAACTTATGATTTATAAATCGTTCTAGAGAGTAATTAGTATCTCCTATTTACATCTTATTGAATCTACTTTTATGATAATAAGACGAGTAATGAAATTATTATTATTATCAAGGCTCTTTTGCATGTTAATTCATTTACTAATAATATTAGTAAATATTGGGAAGTTACCAACTGTGGATTATAAACGTCTCACTTGTAATTTAACAATTTCTTGTCAATTAAAGATAATCAAATGATCTGTAATTTATAAAATTTGAGCGTTACAGCTATTTAAAAGAATTTATTTTTATTAATAATCTATGACCTGTAACTTGTCTAATTTTACTAATAATATTAATTTAATCGTGCAACAATGCCAAGAAATTATTTTTGTCTCTTTTATTGTGTATTCGAATATTCCGCCAATATTCAATCTATCGAAGCAATGACGTCACATATAACGATGACGTATCAGAGTGAACTAGAATCGTAATGGCGGCAGAAGTGACGCACTGCTCATAAGTGGCTATGCAATTGTGACGTATAATTTTAATGTATATATATTGAGTATATTGTTACTCGAGTACATTTGTACTCAAATTTGTAGTACTATGTAACAAATGTAAAATCTAAAACTCATCAAGTTGTTAAAAGGCAACAAAACAGACTGACAAATTCTAATTGTGCAAGAATATTTTATATATTGGAGGTTAGTATAGACTTTATTTATAAATATCAAGTACTGAATATTAATTGAAATTAATATTTTATATTTATCTGTTATAAAATATTAACTATTTCTTAATAATATTTATAATGTTTACTTAAGTTAAAGTTAAAATATATTTTATCGAAATTTTAAAAAACCGTTGTGATATATTTATTTTTATAGGTATGGATCCAGAGTTTCTTTCTAGATTAATTCCACAAAATAAAGAGCATGTACGTCCAGCGTGTAAGAAATGTGGATATGCCGGACACCTTACATATCAGTGTCGTAATTTTATTAAGGTCGACCCAAATAAAGAAATAGTTCTAGATGTTAGCAGTACTAGCTCTGACAGTGATGAGAATTATGTCACTCCTCTGACTGAATTACGCGAGAAGGAATTGAAAAAGAAACTTCAGGAAGCTAAGAAGAAACACAAAGAAAAGAAGTATAAGAAAAAATCCAAGAAACGCAAGAGATCAGAGGCAAGTGACAGCGAATCAGACACGGAAGCTTCTAGTGATGAAGACAAGAAACATAAACATAAAAAGAAAAAGAAGAAATCTAAACATAAAAGACACAAGAAACATAGAAAAGACAATTCATCAGACACTAACAGCGATAACAAAAGGAGATAACATGAGTCACTTACAACTGACCAATAATTCTAAAGTTTTGCTCAAATCACCATTATCATACACATAAGTAAAATTATACAACTTGTAAATAAACGAGAATGAATGAGATTCCATTTATATGAACTCTATATCATTTCTATGTATGTAGATACAACAATTTAAATGTAAATTTACTGTCTATAAAATAATAAATGTTATATATAATTTTGTATATAAAAATTATATCGTGTATATTATTTCCCAAGATATTATATATTTTCTAAAATAGCAGTAATAACATGTAGTAATAAAGTATTGGTAGCAAAATAGTAAGTTATGCATAATTTCATTTATAAAAATTATATTCTGTATATCACATACATTTGAAATAACATATAAAGTAAAAAATACTTATATGTTATAATAACATATAAAGTAAAAAAAAATAAAATAAAAAATATTTAACATATAAAGTAAAATGTATTTGTTTATACACATATAATATATATACAATAATATAGATGGCGCTAAATAATATAGATGGCGCTAAATAATATAGATGGCGCTAAATAATATAGATGGCGCTAAATAATATAGATGGCGTTAGATGACACACGTAGGCTAGTGTAATTAGTCTTTGTCTAGACTTGGTGAGAGTGAGAGTGAACAAATCAAGAAAAAAAGTATGACGCGTCACGCGAGAAATTGTACAGCTGGTGCTGTTTATACTTATCATGAAAAGAAGAAGGACGCAACAGCATCAGGTTATGGTACAAATACACAAAGAGTGGGAAAAGATTCAGTGAAGGATTTTGATTGCTGCTGCTTAACCTTACAACCTTGCAGAAATCCTGTCATAACGTTTGTATACTTTTATATTAATTTTCGTATTGCCATATCATTGTTGTATCTAACAGTAAATTTTTCGTACAGAAAGGATGGCTATTTGTTTGACAAAGAAGCAATACTAGAATATGTCTTAACCAAAAAGAAGGAATATGCAAGGAAATTGAAGGAGTATGAGAAACAAAAACAACAAGAACAGGTAAATAGAAGTATGTAAATAAAAGTGTTATCAAGTACTTTTTTTTACTATGATCTTTTATAATTTTTCAAGGAACAATCAAATGAAAAAAGTGCTAATGAAGAATTACAGAAATTGCAAAAGTTTTTAAAAGGAGAGAAAAACATTGTTTCTCGAAGTCAGATTATAACCAAAGACTCTACATCTTCAGTTTCAAATATGAGTAATGGTAATGATAAAATGTTACCAAGCTTTTGGATTCCTTCTAAGACACCTGAGGCAAAAGAAACTACATTACAGAAACCAGACAAGACAGTTTATTGTCCTCTTAGTGGAAAACCGCTGAAAATAAAAGATCTTATTCCTGTGAAATTTACTGAAGTAAAGGATCCAGATGACAAAAAGTCTCTTATTGTTAAACAAGCAAGATACATGTGTCCAATTACACATGATATCTTGAGTAACAGTGTACCATGTGCAATTATAAGAACAACGTATGACTTTTTCACTTTCTACTGTTTTTTTTATTGTTATATTATTTCTTACGTATAATATAAGCAATTGTTTCATAATCTTTTCAGTGGTGATGTGGTTACAATGGAATGTGTAGAAAAAATCATAAAGAAAGATTGGATCAATCCTTTAGATAGTACGAACCTGACTGAATCAGATATTATACCTCTCCAAAGGGTAATTATTAAGAATAAGAGTAAAAGTCGTTAAAATAGAATATCATAATAATCATAATTTTTGCTTCATTTCAGGGTGGTACTGGATATTCAGCTGTTAATGATAGTTTAGAAGGCAAACACGAAAGACCAGTGTTACAAGCATAATATACGTGATTAACATGTAATTTGTTTTTTAAGTTAAGATATTTTTCATATATAGAATTATGTAACTGAACAGAATGTACAGAATTATGTATATACATGTATTATATTCCGACTTTGTGAGAATTGTCTTGTGTTTTAAAAAATTCGAAAAATTAAAAAATTTTATTTTTTTATGAGAAAATTTAATAGAAAGAAACATACCTCTCCGATCCAGACGGTAGTGAACTCGCCTAATTGTAAAAAATTCCTTTCACAATTGTCCTTTCGATCTTCTAACACTTCTAACACTTTTTAACGACTTTTATTGGTTAATCGTTGTCTAATTAAAAAGAAAAGGAAAAAATGTCCCGTTGAATAATGTCCTGCACTAGAGTGGTTACCACGTACGTATTACTTGTTACTGCAATAGTTATCGCGCACATATTCAGCGTCAAATTTTCGTTACACAGCACGTCGATGTACTACAATCACGATATCTGTACAATTCGAACGAAATTTCGCAATGATTTTAGATATTTTCTACGTTAAAAAAAGAACCGGCAACCGCGATAGAGAGCACGCCACGTACGTTAATTTACTGGAGCAATTCGAATTTGAACTGATCGTTAGCTGATTGGTGGAAAACGGCGCGACGTGATTGGAGCAAATTCAAAGATTTGTTTAGCGCGTTTACTCGGCGAACGGGAAACAGCGGTCCCACAATCCCGTTCGCGCTGAATATCGATTCGCGATCCAATGGTGGCTCCGGCTTCCGTCAGAAGGTGTCGCCATCTTAAGGAACACGGTTTTTTAAAGCATTCCGAAATTCTGGCGCTCTGCCGGCAATCTACGAGACTGCGTTAGTGTTTGCTGTCGTGTAGTGCTTGCGCGCGTTCGAAACTTGGATTTCCCCGCAACTGTCCCCTTCTTATCCGGTAGAATTGAATGTCAGCATCGGTTACGAAGTGCAGAACTCGTGATGATCGTTCGCCAATGAATTAAAGGTGAGTGCCCCTCTGTTTGTAAGTGTGGCCATTTATCGGATCCGATTATTGTCACATGTGCAATGCCACGACGGTAACGGTTTGAGCGCTTGGTAAGTCAGTCAGCAATTTTCATACGTTTTGCGAGCGAAACAATCGCCGAGCGAGATCATTGCATATATGATGATAACAAGTGTTGGTGGGTAACCAGGCATGCAGAGAATGTATATTTTCAACGTAGCCTCATACCTGATCACAGCAGTTCAATTTGATTAGTCTCGTATGTAAATTTCCAGCAACTCTGCTGTTTACAATAGATCCGTAAGTAGGACGTGCGAATGCATCGATCAGTTAACTATCTGCGACGAGATGATACAAGCGATTGGCGAGACGTAAACGCGTATTTCGACGGGTTTCGCGCCCGTTTCGATCTCTATCTTGTTGGACGCGGATCGCTCAAAAGCAAATGAAACTGTCACGTTATGTAAGGCAAACATCGTACGTTAACTGCACCGATATGTTTTCGAGCGTCAATCATCATTCGCAGTTAATGCTTCTCATCATTTTTCGTTTGCACGTTCGCGGGTTTAACACGATGCGTCAAATCCCCACCACCGGACACCGCGACATCTCATTTTTCACGAACGTGCATTTTCTGCGGATAGCGTCGACCTCGACGTACGTATCTCAAACGTGTGAAAATCGTTTCGTTCGATAAACGAAATGTGTAAACCAGCAATGTTGACGTGTCTACGAACAAGCGTATTTAAAACATTACAATCGCAATAGATAAAGACAGACGAGGACACATCAAAGATTGCATGGCAGTTTGTCATCGTATCAATTAAATCGATTTTAAGTTATCGATTTATATTGATTTTCATGACGCGTCGCAGCTCGGATGCCAGCCGATGCAGTCGATCTAATCTAAACGATTAAAATCGCGATGGCAATCGTGTTGCATTGTGCATCGTGTCTTGAATGGCGTATCGTACGAAGATAAAACGTTTTAAGTAATTGATCGTTAATGCATAATTAGGTTGTAAATTTTGCCCGAAGGAGACGAAACGGTTATTGTTGTTTCCGAGTGGTGATTAAACTTTTCCGCGACATAATCTGCGAGGAAAATGTTCATTGCAAATTCCTTTAGTTTCTCATCTGTATAATTTGCATAATTAAGTACTTGGATAGTAACATAAAAATCGCTTGTGACTAATAGCAATGCAAAAACTATATAATCGACTGGACGTACAGAAAGATAGTGGGCTGCAGTAACCGTCTGACACGACAGATAAAAAAATGTAAATTTATTGGTAGTACGTTGCTACAGCACAATAATAATAATAATAATAATAATAACTTTAACGATAACCTTCCATGTAAATAATAATATAATATTCATGAGAATATTAAACATACGTACAAAATAGTACGCGAAATCTTGTTATATCACTAAGCATATCTGTACATTGTCTATATAACTGCAAAATATGTATCGGTCGCGTATATATATTTGCCATATCCGTGTTCTGTTCCTACATGAGCACGCGTGCGCCTGTGTACGTGTCATACGTAATAGAAGGTTAAGCTAGGTTGACCGACCATGATGCAGAGTGCATGCGTAACGAATAGTTCACGCCGATCGTACGAGACACATACACGCGAGTAAAAACACGATATATCGTGCATGTGTTTTCATGCACGCGTAGATGATAAGAGGCGACACGACTACGAGTTATATCATCGTCTACGAGGCGCATGGCGCATATTGCGACACGATTGCTTCAGTTCTTTCACCCATTCGATTTTGTTGCACCGTATACACATACAGAGAGCACTATGTACATTGTTGGTCGCGCTTGCAAATGTTCGTTACGTGCAAAAACAGAAAGAAAAAAGAGAAAGAGAAAAAAGAAAATGGAATAATTGGTTTCACCGTTTGCACGCTGCTGCGTTTTCGAAAGAATTGAGTTTGAAACAAGCGTCGTTGGACATTTCATTGCTAATCTATACCGAAGTCGTCGTCGAAACTTGCGTCAAAAATTGCGTGAAATTTTGAAAAATTTTCGGATTTGTTTCTCTCGAAAACGGGGGTTGAAAATCAAAATGTTTTTGTTTTTCCTCGGGTGATTTATGCATGTGGAATAATCTTCTGCCTGGATGTAACATAACGTATCAATGTTTTGGAGCATGTCGTGTACGTGTATTAATATTTATACACGTGGCAGAAATCGGTTGAGTTGTTGATCCTCTGAGCCGTGAAAAGCTGGTCGATTTGCTGGTTCGAGAATCAGGGACGATGGCGATGAACCGATCATAGCAAGTCAATAGGTAGATGAACTTGAGACGAATTGGATGCTGGTTAGTCTGAAATTACAGCGTCTAACAGCGGTACCGCTGTCAATTATCTCAAGTTGGGCTCGATGTACCATTCTAATCACTTGGAACTTCGTAATGAAACTTTGTCGTATGCAAATTATGCGCATTCAACAATAAGGATGCACTGGCATTTAGAGCCAATAAAATACACAATCTCTGATTCAACTTCCTTTATCAAAACCACTTGATCGAAGGAAGTTCCGTTTGAATTTAATTCAAAACGAAGGAGATCCCTCTTCTCGGAAGAATTCTCACTTGATCTTCTCGTGATTTACTAATACCAACAACCTATTACGTTGGATAATTAACGTTATTCGTATTCTTCTGCGATTTTAATACACCGACTGGTTGCACAATTTATATCTAAGAAACGAGCATTCATTCCTCAGCGACTTTCCTCGTTAACGTGATTTTTTCGGATCGATCTGTCGGCCACGTTTAAGAGAGCAATGGAACTCTTTCATTAACGACGAAGTCGGGAGGAGAGAAAGTAGGAACTAGCAGTAGCCTACTACCGTATGTGGTTCGCCTTTGTTGTGCACTCGTATTAAACTGCTGACCTCCCTTCTCAAGAAACTCGCGGGACACGCCCGTGCACCTAAACGTATATAATCATAAATATGCCTGTCATACTTGTCATACACGCTTGGACACTTGTGTCCCGCGTAGAATTTATTCCACCAATTTTATTTGAAAGTCAAATAAACCCTCGGTGTGTAGGAATTTTTTTTCACATTTAATTGAAAACGATCATTGTTCTTGAATAGTACACGCGATTTCATGAAATAATTCATGAAATCAAATATTATCGTAACTTCTTTCGTTTTATTCACGTTCTAATAGGAAGTTGTAAAATTATGATAAATTTAAGAAAAATATATATTTTTTTTAATTAAATCGAGACAGTCTTAGTATTTTTATTAGCACATTTTTCGAGCACGCATTTCGGGAAACATTGAATCCATGAATTTGTGTTTCAGGTAGCTTATGTAAGAAAATTATAAATTTTTCCAAAGAAAAATTTAAAAGTGATTTCACAGTACCGGGAAGCCGGTACTGTTGTTTTTATGTATGAGCCATCATTTTCAAGCCTTTCCTTCTTGCTTCGTCATTTTTTTTCCATCGAGTTACGTTGGATTAATGGATCGCGGAAAGATCCAAGCGATTAGATCTTTTTAAAGCAACGCGATGACTTCCGATTTGAAATATTTGAACAAAAAAGAAAAGAAAAAAAAAAGGAAAAAAATCATCATCGGCTTGTTGGATGGAAGGAAATTACGACGAATAGTTTCTTTTTAGCGGAAGCGGTTAGCTACGATCGCTTGTTAATAAATGCATATATACATGTATATTGGTCATACCCGGTCACCAATGTCTCGTACACACTTGAAACATTACGTAACACTACGTCTTGCGTGTTTTGCGGTGCGCATTACCTCATATCAAAGCAATTCTCGAATACAGCACGGTCATTTTCCCACTGTGGCCACCCTTCCCTCTCGACTGCAGTGTGCGTGAACTTGTTTCCGCTTTAGAAAAGATATTCTTGCAGAAAAATCACTGTTTCCTTCTTTCTTGCGACACGTGAACAGGATACGCGCAGGACACTGCCGATACTAACAACTGTTGCAATTAATTCTGCCTGCAATTTTAATTAACATTTATAAAAAAAAAGCAACCCTATTACCTTCCGATCATCTTTAAAAATCCTTCCGCGTATTAAACTGTAACGTAGATGATGATGAAAGAATTTTTCAGTCTTCTTCTTTATATTATCCAGATGAATGTTAGACTGTTGAAAATTTCTTTCCCTCGGTTATCTACAATCTT